GTCGAAGGTGTCGTCGATGCGGGGTATGGGGAAGGCATCGCCGAGCGTGACTGCATTTAGTTTACGGTAATCGACGCAGAACCGGGTTGACCCATCCTTTTTCGTTACTAGTACCACTGGGGCTGACCAGGGGCTCGCCGAGGGCTGAATTATGTTATCGCGAAGCATGTCCCCAACCGCCTCCTTGATCTGGGTGCGTTCGGGTGCGCCCACTCGGTACGCAGGGAGTTTGATGGGTCGGGCTGCACCGGTGTCAATTTGGTGCTTAACAAGGTCGGTCCGACCCACGTCCGAGTCGTGTTCGCTGAACACGTCGGCATACTCCCGCAGTAACTCGCGCAGCCGATCGGCCTCTCCCTTAGGTAAGTCCGCCCATGGTACATGTAACGCGTCGAGCAGGGGAACGACCTCGGCTCGGGGAGTCGGGCCGACTCGCCAGGCCAGGTCCTGCTCACCCTCAGGACGACCGGGGTTCTCAGCCCAGAGTGCGAACACCGAGTCGTTAGAGTGGCGTGCGTGCAGGGGGTGTACTGTGGCTATCGGGGTGCGCCGTCGCAGTATCGCTGGGGTATTGTGGGGGTTAAACATCCGCATAAACATTCGGTCCCCATCTGCGTTTACCAACGTGGCGGATCCCACAACCCCATACCGTTTTGCCAACTCCGGGTGAGGAGTTAGCATTACCTCCCCTGATGGTCGGAGCGCGGGGTCGGTGGGGGATGTTGCCACCGGCACCAGCATCTCGGTGAGCGGGCCGATGGTGACTGCCGTCGCCAGGATAGCGGCCACAGGTGCAAAGCGGCGGCGGGTTGGTTCTCGTCCCAGGAACGGTATCCGCTCGCCGTTGCTCTCCATGGTGGCGCATCGCTGGCGGGGTTGCACGTTGAGTCCCAACCGTTCTAGGAGGTCGGTGCCTGCGATACACTCGTGACACAACGCACTCGACACGTAGAACTCCTGCGTGCACACCTGGCTGCCTATGCGGACCTCTAGGGTGGCTCTCCCCAGCAGCCCCATTCCGGCTCCGCTCGCAGTGTGCAGCGCGCGGTCCGGGGCCTGCAGGTGACGCACGTCGACCCCGATCGCGCTGCAGTGCGCTGCGCTCACGAGCGAGGCCACCGCCCCCGTGTCCAGCAGGATTCGGGTACGCACTCCGTTTACCTCCCCTTCCACCAGCGACGTGGCCCCCGTGATCCCCGCCACCAGCTCCCGCAGCCAGTCGCCAGGAGTCACCGTTTCCGTGGGCGTTGTTGCTGGAACCTGTGTGGAGATCACTCGCTCGCCATTATTCTCACAGCTTGTTTGTGTCGGGGCTACGTCGATTTCACCCCCCGGTGGTCCCCTCTCTAGGGGGGCCTTAGTGTTTGACCTTAGCTCTTGTCTAGCTCGGGCGACCTGAGGACAGTCCCTCACTAGATGCCCTCGGCGATCGCACATATAACATGCCCGGGAAGGGGTGGCGGCTCCGTAGTGGGCTCTCTGCCCACTCCCTCCTCCCCCAGTGCGCTGCTGCTCATACTCTGCTTCTAGTCGCGCTATCCTTCCAGTTAGCCCTCCTACCGTGGAGTCTAGTTCCCCCATCTCGGATCGGATGGTCTCAACGGAGGATTGCAGTTTGGTCATATTTGTATTCGTTTCCTCGCGTACCTGGGTTACCCTCTCACCTACTTGGTTTACCTTGTTGTCTATCTGGGTTACCTGGCCGGAGACATCCTTTATACCCGTTTGTATACCGGCAACCCATCCCGGGGTTGTCTCGCGGGACACTGGAGGCTCTCTTTCCCGGCCCCTTACCGTCCTTGCGAGCTCCTGTTCCTCCTCCTCGTCTTCCGAGAGCAGGCTCGCAATGGCGCGCTCTCGTCCCAGCCCCCGGAGCTGCGCGCGTTCGCTGTGAATTCTTTCACACTTACGTGCGCGCTCGACAAGGGTGTTAAAGGGAAGACGTGGGCAGCTCATGTCTGGCTGCCACCACGCCGTGCGAGACAGGTACCGCTGGATTTTCTCGGCGGCCAGTTCCTCAATAACATCAGCTGCGTACCCCGGGCGTGCGATCTTTGTTAACTCGCACACATCCTCGGCGTAATCACGTAGATCTTCGCCAGGTTGGCGCCGGCGCGCCTCTAAGGCCGATTTTGCTTCCTCCTCGTCACGCGTGCCAAAACGCTGATCGAGTCGGCGCATCAGCTCCTCTAGCTGTGTCTGTGCGCTCGCGGGTAACGCTTCTACAAAATCGGCTGCCCGCCCATCAAGATTCATATTAAGTTGACGTACTGCCTGCGCGTCCGTCCATCCATTAATTTCCTTGGCCCCTAAGAGATTGCGGGCGAATGCCTTCCACGAAGGGGCCCCCCGGCCGGTAAATATTAGTCTTATTTTAGCGTGAGGTAACGCGGGGGTCCGTACCGCTTCCGACACCAATTTGTGGGGGCCGTTGGCCCCCGGGGTCCCTCCCGCCTGCATCCCCTATTCCGTTTACGTTACCCCACCTCCCTATTACTCGCTACGGTTTCGCCGGCATTCGAACGCGACGCCCCTACTGTTACAGCCTCGCGCCGCGCTCCCACGCTGCGAGCATACGTGCGCACATCATCGTCAATCAAACGCCGTGCTCGCAGTATAGCCCTGTGCGGCACGTTACCAATGCGCATCCGTATCCGACATGTAACGAACGTATGCACACACACACACGCCGCTCCGTGCACTCCAACTCCACACCAACTACGCAAGTTATGATCGCGCACCTGTATCACACACGGAGTGAACACACGCGACACCCACTCTTGCGCCGCTCTGCGCAGCGCTCGCCGTCTGCTGGCCGCTTGCGTTATGATCGCGCACCTGGGGTACGCCTATTACGCACGCCGCGAGCTTACGCACACACAGTACCACACGCGTTCCCCCACGCAACCCGCGCGCTCAGCTCCGCGCAGCGCTCACTCACGTGGCGAACCACGGTGCACACAGCGCACCCACACGCTCACACCGCACGACAAGATCACGCGAGACCACGCTTCGCTATTAATGATTTATTATATGCTACCTGCGAATTGATGTTTAATCAGTGAGTCGACGAGGCTGGCCTATTCCACTAAACCTGTACCTATTCCCTATTTATCGGCTTACGACACCCTACTTCACCTCCCCACTCACTGTTTGGTGCCCGCGGAGGTTCGCTGCTCTCTGCGCTAACAGCGTACCTCGATGCGTCGCACGGACGTCCGGGTCGCTGGCTGGAAGTCCTGCTGGTCCGCTGGCCTGGAGAGAAGGGCGCTATTTTCCCTCTGCGCCCCTCTATTTATCCTCCCTACCTTCAAGGGGATGCTGCTGATATGCTAATCAGTGTGCCGCGTGCAAGGCGTAAATCCTACTTAATCCCTTACCCTCCCTAACAATGGGGCCTGCGCGCTCAAGCGCAATTATCCCAACCCTCCATGACTATGCGCAACAGCCCCTGTGACCCCGCTATTCATGCTGTCCCGTGCCTCCCCTGCTCGCCCCGTCGACCCGTGGGAGTGTGTGTGGGGGGAAATGCGCCTCAACCGCGGTGGCCGAATGCCCCACGCCACGACCTACCATATTAAGGCCGGCCGCAGCGCCGCGGTGCCACGTAGCACGGGGAGGTCATCCAATTCCCTGATCGCCGGAAACCGTGAGAATTAATCCCGATAAGGGCCTCTCGGATAAAAACCGGTCGATCAGGTGACCTTCCCTTCCAGCTCTATGGGGGGGGGAATGCGTGCGGGTGTGTGCTTATGTGGGGCGGGTGATGGGGGGCAGTGCGGTGGGGGAAGCCGGGCGGCTCCCTGGTTCGGCAGAGCGGCCCCGTCGTTGTGGCACCACAAGCGACTGGGTGAGTGAGTGGGTGTGTGAGTGGATGAGTGGGTGGATGAGTGTGTGGGTGAGTATGTGAGCGACTGGGTGAGTGAGTGGGTGGGTGAGTGTGTGAGTGGGTGTTGAGTGTGTGGGTTAGTGTGTGAGCGACTGGGCGAGTGAGTGAGTGAGCGATTGGGTCAGTGAGTGAGTGTGTGAGTGTGTAGGTGGGTGTGTGAGTGAGTGGGTGTGTGAGTGGGTGGGTGAGTGAGTGTGTGAGTGTGTAGGTGGGTGGGTGAGTGGGTAGATGAGTGTGTGGGTGAGTGTGTGGGTGAGTGTGTGAGTGGGTGGTGAGTGTGTGTGTGAGTGAGCGAGCGACTGTGATGAGTGAGTGAGTGGGTGTGTGAGTTGATGGGTGATTGAGTGGGTGTGTGAGTGGGTGGGTGAGCGACTGGGTGAGTGAGTGGGTGTGTGAGTGAGTGAGTGGGTGAGTGGGTGGGTAATAATATAATAATAGTACAATTTGTAACGCGCGCAAATTTGCAGACGTAGTGGCCGCAACTCAGAGGCGCGGAGCCAAGCTCAGAGTCACTCAAAAGCACGTGGTTGTAGAGGTGAGTTTTTAAGTGTCTCTTGAAGGAGGCGATTGAGGTGATGCTGCGAATGTGCAGAGGGATATCGTTCCAGACTGTTGGGGCTGCCACCGAGAAGCGGCGCGTAGACACGATGACCATCCTGGATCTTGGTATCGAGAGGAGGTTGTGAGTCGCGCTGCGCAGGCATCTGCCGTGTGCTGAGCTGCAAGTTGTCAGTAATGAAGAAAGATACGGCAGGCGGATATGAAGGCGTTGTGGCAGAGGCAGGCGGTCTTGTATGTGACCCTGCTGGCGATGGGGAGCCAGTTGAGAGCGCGGAGACAAGCTAGTGAGTCGAGGCGGGGATGAGTGTGGGCAATGACGACGCGTGCCAGGTTATTTGGTAGTCTTTGAAGCTTCTTTAGGTTGCCAGCGGAGGTCCGGACTAGGACGGAGTTGCAATAGTCAAGGCGAGACCCAACTATGCAACATGCCAAAGTGTTGGCAATTTCAGTAGAGATGAGAGGACGTATGTGTCTAAGAGCCTTCAGGTGAAAGTTACATGAGCTGATGATATGGTTGGTTTGACGGTCGAAGGATAAAGTTGAATCGAGGATGATACCGAGGTACCTGAAGTGGTCGGTGAACTTGTTGATGTGACCGAAGATGTGTATGTGTGTGGGGAGTGCTGCTGAATTGAGACGTTGCTTGTGTAGTGACATAAGAAGGGAGGGGCTGCTGGGGGCTCTGGGATCCCAGGCAAGTCCAGACGCTTAAGCCTCTGGGTGCCAGGCACTGGGTTCCCAGAGGGTCCAGACTATTAAGCCTCTGGGCGCCAGGCGTTGGGTTCCCAGGCGCTTAAGCCTTTTTGGCGCCGCCAACGGGGGGGGGGGGGGCTGTGTGTGCTCTGTGGGATGTCTGGTGGCGCACACGGCCCCACCCCTCGTTAGACTAGGCATAAAGGGAGAGCTCCCTGGACGATCAGGGCCCAGTTGTAACTCAAGACCCAAGACCCACGACCAGCCATCTGAAGACCCTGGGATGCTGCGAGAGCCAGCGCTGGGACTCTGGAACTCCCGACTCTACGACCTTGTGAGGGCGAGTTGCAGAGCGTAGCCAGAGTAGAGTATCTAGGCTGTGTAGCTAGGCTGTAACAGAGTATCAGGACTGTTGGAGAGTTGGACTGTTGGAGTGTTGTATTGTAATAAAGAAGTTACCTCTACAAGTGTCTCCGGAACCCGTTACACTTGGTACCTAACATGATGGCCACTGACTTTTTCGGATTAAGGGCTAGGTTGTGTGCAGTGAACCATTGTTGCATGGCGGTGGTACATTCCGAGAGCCTCTCGAATCCAGATGCATTGCTAGAATCGATGGCGGTGAATATAATCGTGTCATCCGCGTATGAGTGATGCTTAACACCGAAGCTTGCAATGAGCCGGCCGATCGGGGAAGTGTAGGCTGTGAAGAGCAGGGAACCTAGTACAGAGCCTTGGGGAACCCCCCATTTTGAGGGTGTGGAGTTTATCCTGTTATGTACGAAACTTGGGAACCCTAGCTACATACAATGTCTGCTGCCAGTTTTTTTTAGGGCTGAACATTGAAAATGTCTAAGTGTACAATTATTGCGATTACCATGTCTCTATAGTCGTGGTTGAAGAGACATTGTAATGTTTTTAAACTATTTTATCTTTTCCTGTAATTTCTTGAAATTCTCTTTTGGCGGGTTAAGTAAAAACATGCCTTACAATGGCTGCCCATAAAAAAATTGTTTTAATGCATTTGTTTTCTGCCTATTTGTTTTAGTGGCCAGGTACTGGGCCGATTCTGCTGCGAGACCCGAGTGTGTGCTTCGCCGGGGAGAGATGTAAAAATGTAGGTGAAGAATGAAATAAAAATTAATAAAAATAAAATAATAAAAATCACGACGTTTCGGAAGCAACACAAGCTTACGTCTTCAGGTGAAACTGTCACAGCCAAATATCGGTATCACTTGAAGACGGAAGCTTGTGTTGCTTCCGAAACGTCGTGATTTTTATTTTATTTTTATTTCATTTTTTACCTACGTGACTTTACCGAAAAAAACTAAGAGTATGATTCCTTGCAGTCGTGAAAGCTTCAAATCTCGAAGATATCAAAATGGACGAGCGGTGCATGCATCATGACGATGAGGAGCTGCAGCAGCAGCAGTCTCCAAACAATTGGAAGGCTCCTTCACTCACCATGCAGAATGCAGCTCAGTATGTGCAGCAGTATCCTCCTGCCTTGGCAGAGGCAGCAACCCAGACTTGTCAGTCTCCACAGGCTCAGCCAGTTGAGCACACCCCACAAGTGCCTAAGGTGTCTTCTGGCAGCAGTCAGCGAGCGAGTGGAGAGGCGGCTTCTGATACGAACTCCCAAGGTGATCACTTTGACTGCCCCTTGTTCACACACGCATGCTGCTGTCTAGCTATTAAGACACATTTGAGGTTTTTGTAAATTATATAATTTCACTAATAGGGGTTTTCCCCTTTTTTCTGGCAACAAAACTGACACCTTTTGCAAGGAATCATACTTACATTAACCACAATACTTGCAGTCAAATGCAAACAATAAACACAACTCTGATAATGTATGCATTGTCTTTGAAACTGATTGGTCCACACCAGAGACATCTTTCTTTAGAGCCTCGTCTCATATGGTGTTCGACCATTTGACTGCAAGTATTGTGGTTAATGTAAGTATGATTCCTTGCAAAAGGTGTCAGTTTTGTTGCCAGAAAAAAGGTGAAAACCCCTATGAGTATATTTTGGTACTGGCAAAGGAGGTCCCATGATGACGCCTTTTGGCGTCATCTGGTCGAACACCATATGAGACTAGGCTCTAAAGAAAGCTGTCTCTGGTGTGGACCAATCAGTTTCAAAGACAATGCATAAATTATCAGAGTTGTGTTTTTTGTTTGCATTTGACTGCAAGTATTGTGGTTAATGTAAACATGATTCCTTGCAAAAGGTGTCAGTTTTGTTGCCAGAAAAAAAAAAGGGGAACAACCCTATTAGTCTATATTTTGCTACTGGCAAAGGAGGTCCCATGATGACATCATTTCAATGTATTATTCTGAAAGAAATTGTCCCTGCGTGTACTCGCCTTACCTGTCCGCTTTTTGCCACTTAACCAAATCCTCAGGCTGCGTGAAAGTGGTGCACGACATGCTGATGACTGAAAGCAACTGTGGCAGCAATTGGCCATCCGACCAAAAAGACATATTTCACCTCCTGGTAGTTACCTGCTTTCGTTTAAATTCCTCGTTTTCCGCACTCATTGACATGTTAATGTTGTCTCTAACCCCTCCCTCTCTCTGCCACCGCCCCCTCTGTCTATTTAAGGCCACTCCACAGAGACGATCTCCCTCTCTGTACCTGTGTCACTCTCTCTCTATGTATCTTGGTGATATCTGTCTGCTCATATGTCTGTCTATAGTTGTTCTGGTTAGAATTTTTTGTTGCTATTTCATTTATACCTGATGATGATTGCTTGTGTTGCAATGGAAACGTCGTGATTTTTATTTTTATTTTATTTTACTTTTATTAATTTTAATTTTTTACCTACGTGACTTTACCGAAAAAACCATAAGAATATGAAACCTTGCAGTCACGAAAGCTTCAAATCTAGAATTCACAATAAGCATTTGATGTTTTAAAGAATTTGCTCTGCGGTCTGTATGTATGTAGGTGCACGGGAGAGAACATTTTGAAATATTAAAAAAAATCAAGGAAAGCCTGGAGCTGGTCCGAATGCTGCCCAAGGATGTTGTGAATGTGTTGCGCAACCTGCAGCAACAACGGTACGTGAACACGAAATAGACACATCGCTGCTCGTGCGAGACAAGTTCCCGATTGCTGCTGTAATTAAATGGTAGCAACAGAAGGGAAGTAATAAAATGATAAAAATAAAAATAATAAAATAATTCTCACGACGTTTCGGCCACAACGCAAGCAGCCGTCCTCAGGTGAAAACCAGGTCTGTCGGAAAGACAGCGTCTGAATGAAACAGCAAACGTGCTTGGAGCATGTATATAAGCTGGGTTGGAAGGGGGGGGAAAGGGGGAGCCTTGACAAAATAATTTGCATATCAAGAGGAATTTAGCATATTTCCATATCCCCTCCCTTTGATGCTGCTAATCCTGCATAATGCACGGGCATGAGTAGTACTAATCACATACCTGCATTTGCCATAAATATGCTAAATTCCTCTTGATATGCAAATTATTAGTGAATAATGTTTTCTCCTGGAAGAATCGTTTTAATTTTAAATCATTCACAGAGAATGTTTTGTATTATTGCAACGAAATACATTTGACAACGCTTTATTAAATTTGACATCCTGCACCGAAATTTTAATTTGAAGCTGTTATTTGTTTGCCTGTTGACTGTTCGACTTTCAAACAGCCATTATTCAATTCATGTTCATGCTGATGCAAATCTGTCTTGATTTTCCAGCTGCTACTCCATTATACACTGCACAACTACATAATGTTACATACAAATCTGACATGTTACATACAAATCTGAATTTGAAGGTACTATTGGTTTCACAGTGACACTTGCTCACCTACTTTCAAGCAGTCATTGCCATCCGGCTAGAGCAATGCAGTTGCGAAGTTTGTTCCAATTGACGTGATTGACAAACGGCTTCCTGTTGGATGCACCAAAGTGTTGCTTTTTAAATCCTTTATATTAAGTTCGCTTGCTTGCGCGCTTACGACCGTGCAAATCTTTTGGTCGTTTTTTAACCCACTTCCCGTGATCCAATCGAGCTGACATTTTGCACACAGACTCGTTGTGCGTGACAATTTATTTTCGTGAAAAAAAATTTCCTACATTTTCCACTTTTTAGGAAAACATTTTTGTCATATTTAATTTAAAATACCAATGTGATAAAAATAAAACTCTTACTCAAGAAAAACAGAAATGAATAATAAAATAAAACCGATGCCGCCACGCATATAAAGGATTTATAGTGAAAAACTTTGTTTTTACGGGTTAATTTTTTTTATTTTGGATTCGAAATGTTGGAAAGGCAATGCTTTGCAAGATCACATTTTTGTATTTTATTAATATTTTCCTCTGACATACTATATGGGAGATGCTGAGCATGACAGATGCATGGACACTGAACTTTCTGTATAATTCCCGACTGGTATGTGTGAGTTGGTAAAGGTGTGAAGCATCAACATACGTGGAGATTTGTGCATGGCTCGCTGTGGGCAATGTATATAGGATGGTCACCCACGCTGAACCCAACCTAGCTTATGAGATCAGATGCATTGCAGTTGATGTTGTGATAAGCATGTGGGGCATTATCAGAGTTTAACTCATTGGAATGTGGATTATATCTTCATATTTTAACTTTAAGCACATGTCCATCTTATGATCCAAATGGAAAATATCTAAAAAAAGATTTCCATATTCAAAAATTATGCAATATATCAATATTCAGTGTCTATGTAATGTAAATAACTCCCATGTTGGTTATGAATACTGAGCAGTAGTTCATTGACATCAGGTTGTGCAATGAGAAAAGATGCAGTTGTCATGTGCATCAACCACTATTTTTTTGGGCTTTTAAAATCCTTTATATTAAGTTCACTTGCTTGCGCGCTTAGGACCGTGGAAATCTTTTGGTCGTTTTTTAACCCACTTCTCGTGATCCAATCGAGCTGACATTTTGCACACAGACTCGTTGTGCGTGACAATTAATTTTTGTGGAAAAATTTTTCCTAAATTTTCCACTTTTTAGGAAAAAAAAATGTTTCACTAACACAATCATATATTTTTCCTAAACACAGAAAATTATTCAAGAAAACAACAAAAATGTACAATATAAACAATCATACAAAAACTGAAAACCTTATAATCCTTATATACGACTTTCCTTATATTTAATTTAAAATACCAATGTGATTAAAATGAAACTCTTACTCAAGAAAAACAGAAATGAATAATAAAATAAAACCGATGCCACGCATATAAAGGATTTATAGTGAAAAACTTTGTTTTTATTTTATTTGACTTTTATTAATTTTAATTTTTTACCTACGTGACTTTACCGAAAAAACCTAAGAATATGAATCCTTGCAGTCACGAAAGCTTCAAATCTAGAATGAAAAAATAAAATTAAACCGATGCCACGCATATAAAGGATTTATAGTGAAAAACTTTGTTTTTACGGGTTAATTTTTGGGGTTTTTTCTCCCTCCCAGATACGTGACGGAATTGCGTGGCAGGCCGTCCAACCTCAGCCGACACGGAAGCGAGTGTTCACAGGAAGTCTTGGCCGGCAGCCAGGGACCCTCCAGTGCCGGCGAAGGTTCCTCATCAGGTGACGCAAGCTCTCCCTGCTCGGCGCAGCACATTTCTCTGCACGGGACGTGGCGGCACGCGGGCGAATTGAAAGACGCGACACAATTTGCCACAAAGTGATACGCAGTCTTCTTGGTTCTTTCGGTAAAGTCGTCACGTAGAAGGGAAGTAATAAAATAATAAAAATAAAACACGATAAAATACAATTCTCACGACGTTTCGACCACAACGCAAGCAGCCGTCCTCAGGTGAAGAACAGGTCTGTCAGACGCTGTCTTCCCGACAGCTCTGTTCTCCACCTGAGGACGGCTGCTTGCGTTGTGGCCGAAACGTCGTGAGAATTATTTTATGATGTTTTATTATTTTATTACTTCCCTTCTACGTGATGACTTTACCGAAAGAACCAAGAGGATGAATTCAATATTACTCGTATATGTGTTGAGGTGTAAATGTTTTTATTGCGAATGCTCATCCACTGGTTGCAGGCGTTGCACAGAATGTTGTGACGGGTGAAGCAAATGGATCCAATGGTCCCCCACGGCCACCGGACGGAGACAACCCACGGGCCCGGCTTGGAACCCTGCCGGACAGCGGCAAGCCTGGCAACGCTCTTTACAAGTAAGTGCCCTTTAGGTGCATCATCGTCGCCACCTTTAAACATCGTCGTCATTTTTCGATTTAAAGCTTTCGTGACTGCAGGGATTCATCTTCTTGGTTCTTTCGGTAAAGTCACCACGTAGAAGAGAAGTAATAGAATAATAAATATAAAACATAATAAAATAATATAATAATATAATATACATGATAAAATAATTCTCACGACGTTTCAGCCACAACGCAAGCAGCCGTAACGTCGTGAGAATTATTTTATTATGTTTTATTTTTATTATTTTATTACTTCCCTTCTACGTGACTTTACCGAAAGAACCAAGAAGATGAATCCCTGCAGTCACGAAAGCTTTAAATCGAAACGCAAAGTTCGTAATGCAGTTTGGGCTGATTTTTGCACTTGGATTTCCAATAAAAAATGTCATTATTTTCCATAGGGATATACAGTACAAGCAATGTAAGTGTTGCTTCACATGTTATTTCTAATCGCAATGTTGACGGAGTAAAAATGTGCAAGTTAATGTAATACAGCCGTACAAAGTACTTTTCGTGCTTCTTGTATTTGGTATTAACATTTTGGAGCCTTGTGTGTTGTTGTTTTTTCGTGTCTCAAGCTTCCTGAAACAAATCGACTGCTTGGAGTTTTTGGAGAATTTCACTTCACGTGGATTGTCGAGTGTCCAACAGCTGATGGACGTTACTCTACAGGCAAGTTCCTACGGACGCTTCCATGAAAACTACGTGTGGTTTTTTAACGAATACAGGATTAGGATTTATTTTTAAGTTTTTCTGCAACATAAAAAATGCACAAAGAAGCATGGAGAAGATGGAAGGTTGGAATTAAACTTGTAAAGAGTTAATGCGTTTGTAGTGCCTCAAGAGGGGGCTCTGGGACCCTAGGCAGAGAAGCCCTTGGCGGCAGGCGCTAGGATCCCAGGCACCCCAGACACTTAAGCCCCTTGGCGGCAGGCGCTCGGATCCCAGGCACCCCAGACACTTAAGCCCCTTGGCACCAGGCGCTAGGATCGCAGGCACCCCAGACACTTAAGCCCCTTGGCGGCAGGCGCTCGGATCCCAGGCACCCCAGACACTTAAGCCCCTTGGAGCCAGGCGCTAGGATCCCAGGCACCCCAGACACTTAAGCCCCTTGGCGGCAGGCGCTCGGATCCCAGGCACCCCAGACACTTAAGCCCCTTGGAGCCAGGCGCTAGGATCCCAGGCACCCCAGACACTTAAGCCCCTTGGCGGCAGGCGCTCGGATCCCAGGCACCCCAGACACTTAAGCCCCTTGGCACCAGGCGCTAGGATCCCAGGCACCCCAGACACTTAAGCCCCTTGGCACCAGGCGCTCGGATCCCAGGCACCCCAGACACTTAAGCCCCTTGGCACCAGGCGCTAGGATCCCAGGCACCCCAGACACTTAAGCCCCTTGGCGCCACCAACGGGGGGGCTGTGTGTGCTCTGTGGGATACCTGGGGGCACACACAACCCCACCCCTCGTTGGGCACGAGGCATAAAAGGGCAGCTCCCTGGATGATCGGGGCCAGTCGCAGGTCAAGACCCGCCAGCCAGCCAGCGTAGGACCCTGTACCCCCTCGTCCCGCTGTAACAGAGTATCAGGACTGTTGGAGTGTTGTATTGTAATAAAGAAGTTACCTCTACAAGTGTCTCCGGAACCCATTACACGTGGATACCGAAACATGCAAATAAGAAACATTGACAACTGCAAAAAGTAGATGGGCTTGGGCAAGGGCACATCACTGGACTGCATTGGAGTGGCATCCAAAGTAGAGCACACATCACCAAGAGGATGACCACCACAGAGATTCGAGTTGTGAGAAGATTAGTTCGTGTGTCGTTGATAGATGGATCGTCACATAGCTCGAGTGAGGAGGCTGAGGAGTCCTGATCCAGTAGTGGGTACAAATAAAACACATTCCTCCTGCGGAGGGAGCGGGTAGGAACGTTGGGTTGCTCGGTCAATGGCCAACTGTGAGGGCCGGGCACAAGCCGTCGTGAGTAGGTTAAACGTTGAGTTTTATAAGGGCACCACGGGGTGACCAGCCCCTCCCCACCCAGCCCCACCCCTCCCCACCCAGCCCCTCTCCACCCTCCCCACCCAGCCCCTCCCGACCCTCCCCTCCCCACCCTCCCCTCCCCACCCAGCCCCTCCCCACCCTCCCCTCCCCACCCAGCCCCACCCCTCCCATTTTTGGATGCACGACGGACAGACACAATAATCCCCTGTGGGCTGGTGGAACCAGGTGGTTCCTACCGGTAATACCGACTGATTTTGTACATTAATTGCTCTGAGGAATACACGTCGTCAGAAATTTGAAGAATGTTGTATCGTACACTATGGGAACCTCATTTGCCAGTAAAAATATCATAATTGTTTTTTTACCCTTCTATCTGGCAACAAAACTGACACCTTTTTACAAGGAGTCATGTTTGTATAGACCACAATACTTGTCTCGGGTGTGGACCAATCAACTTCAGGGACAGTGCACATTATCAGAGTTATGTCTTTTGTTTGTATTATGACTGCAGGTATTGTGGTCTATGCAAACATGACTCCTTGTAAAAAGGTGTCAGTTTTGTTGCCAGATAGAAGGGTAAAAAACCAATTATCAATATTGTATCGCTGAACACAAGTTGGTGTGTGTGTGTGTGCATATTTTCTGTATTTCGCTGGATTTTAGGACTTGGATGAACTGGGAGTCCCAGAAGCCAAAAAGCGACTGCTGCTGAGTGGAATCGAAGAGCATCGTGTGTCGACCACGATCTCCAGCGAGACGACACTGCAGCGCTCGTCCAGTGAAGAGACAGTCCACCTCAGCTCCGAAGACGACGACGATGACGGCATCGACACCAAGGACGGCATCCGTGCCAAAGTGTTCCCAGCGCTGCGGCCCTCTGGCAGGAATCTGTCCTCTGTCGGCAATCGGTATCGCAAAAGCAGCATTGTCAAATACAATTTGCGAGCGTACGCTCGCCAAGCCGTTGCCCTTCCTCGTGCTGGCAGCTGGGGAGGCAGTAGCAGCCTGGAGGTGCCCAGGAGCAAGATGCCAAAATTGTCTTCATGCTCTGACATCGAAGAAGAAGAGGGGCTGGAGTGAGGAGAGGAGGGGGGTAGCGATAGATGGATGATGGTGGGAGGTTGTGTGGGCCGTGGGATGCACTTTGTATGAAAAGCCCTTGGGGTAAATAAGCTGGTGTCTTTCGATTTAAAGCTTTCGTGACTGCAGGGATTCATCTTCTTGGTTTATTCAGTAAAGTCACGGTCGACAGACCTGTTCTCCACCAGAAGAAGGCTGCTTGCGTTGTGGCCGAAACGTCGTGAGAATTATTTTATGATGTTTTATTTTTATTATTTTATTATTTTCCTTCTACGTGACTTTACCAAAAGAACCAAGAAGATAAGCTAGTGTCGTTTCACTCGCAGTTTCGATAACTTCCTTTGAGCTTCTTCTTGGTTCTTTTGATAAAGTCACGTAGAATGGTAATAATAAAATAGTAATACATTTTTTTTTAAATAAATTAATTCTCACGACGTTTCGGCCACAACACAAGCAGCCGTCCTCAGGTGAAGAAACAGGTCTGTCGAGAAGACAGAGTCTGTTTTTATTTATTATTATTTAATTTCCATTCTACGTGACTTTACCGAAATAACCAAGAAGATGAATCCCTGCAGTCACGAAAGCTTTAAATCGAAATTCCTTTGAGCTTGCTTGCATAGTTTTTTTTTTTTACAGAATGCAGTCAATAAAACATAAAGCTGCATCTTGGCTTTACTACCCAAGGCAGGAACTTGTCTCTTCCAAGAAAGAAGTGAATGACTTGTCAGTTTTGTTCCTTCTTAATTTTGGAGCTTTCGTGACTGCAGGAATTATTCTTTGGTTTTTTCGGTAAAGTCACGTATACAGATAAAACGTGCCGTTTAAGTCATCTGGAGTTGAAATATACAACACGTTTTGTTTCCATGCAGAGGAGATAGCCATGTTCAGAGCCATGTGCTTTTTTGTTGTGTTGCATTTGCTCGACTGTTGAAAGATCGTTTCAAATTTGCATCTTTGGGAAGGATGAACACGAAGTGGGAAGGTTTTTGCAAAATCAGATGTTCTCATACTCCAGAAGATTGTTGTACGGGGCCTGTCTGCTCTAACCTACTTGATAACAACCCCAAAAATGCCTAAATAAAGTTGATTTGTGACATGTTCCATTCTGCAAAGTTTTATAGACTTTGCTGCTGGTAGCAGATGTAGAGAGAACAACACCTGTCTACACTTCGTGTTCATGGAACTGTCTTAAGCGTATATATGCAGTGGGTTTTTTTAAATCCTTTATATTAAGTTCACTTGCTTGCTTGCTTAGGACCGTGCAAATGTTTTGGTCGTTTTTTAACCCACTTCCCGTCATCCAATCGAGCTGACATTTTGCACACAGACTCGTTGTGCGAGACAATTTATTTTCGTGAAAACATTTTGTTCCAAAATTTTACACTGTTTAGGAATTTTTTAAAATATTTAATTACCAATTGCTTAATGCTGCCAGACAATCATCTTACCCATAGGTGGCAGCCATCTCAAGCCAGAGGACGAGCGGACTCTAGCCGCCATGCATATAAAGGATTTATAGTGAAAAACTTTGTTTTTACGAGTTAATTTTTGTTACAGGTAGGAACAACAGTTCCCCACTGCCCACCAGGGATTATTTGTCTGTCGTGCATAGCCCCTCCCACCGTGTAGCACGCTCCCGGATTGGTTGAAGTGCGTCACGTGACCGCGAGCTTTCTGCCCCACCAAGTTCCTAGCTGGCCACTGTGAAGGAACGTGATTGTGCTGTGGATTCAGAAACCCGAGTTTGAGGGTGACGTCCGAACTGCTGATTGTTTGGGCGCTGACCACTGGTGAAGTACCCGTCTGGTCACTGCCTGCATCTTGGAGTGGATTGAAAAAGGGCTGTTGATATTCTTGAGCTTTGATTAAAAGCCAAAAACCTTTAAAGTACAATTTCAGAAATTGTTTTTCTGGATAAACCACTCGGAAAAAATATATCCAATGTTTGAGTTTGCATACGGAGCCCAAAACCACCTGTACGTTTTGCAATGTGCTTTATATTTTGTAGCAATCACTGCCTTTCATGTAAACTGGTACCAGGTGCATACAGCGCATGAGAACGTTCAATTCGAATGTGCAATTCCCTGGAATAGCTACAGTATTGATTTGTTTAAACAAGTTTTGACAATAAAAAAAACTCTCTTTGAACCGTTAACACGATCTTTTCTGACGGTGTTTTTTAATCCAATGTGGCGCGATAGAAATATTTTATTTGCCTTCGTACACGGGTCGATATTGACGGAGCACAGGCGAGTATCACTTTGACGCTGTGGTGGATTGAGCGCAGATATTTGCGTCAGGGGTAGCTGAGCGAATCGCCGTGTGGTAATGATGCCTCCAGGTGTGTCAACCGGGATGTTCTGTTCTGGATCGCAAACAACAAAGTACCTAACACTCACACACACACAGACTCCTACACACACCTACACACACACACACCTACACACTCACACAGCTACACACACCTAACACTCACACACACCTAACACACACACCTAACACTCACACACACCTAACACACACACACAGACTCCTACACACACCTAACACTCACTCACACACACCTAACACTCACACACACCTAACACTCACACACACCTAACACTCACACACAGACTCCTACACACACCTAACACACACACCTAAGACTCACACACACACAGACTCCTACACACACCTAACACTCACACACACCTAACACTCACACACACCTAACACTCACACACACCTAACACTCACACACACCTACACACTCACACACACCTAACACTCACACACACCTAACACTCACACACACCTAACACTCACACACACACACACACCTAACACTCACACACACCTAACACTCACACACACCTAACACTCACACACACCTACACTCACACACACCTAACACACACCTAACACTCACACCTAACACTCACACACACCTAACACTCACACACACCTAACACTCACACACACCTAACACTCACACACACCTAACACTCACACCTAACACTCACACCTAACACTCACACACACCTAACACTCACACACACCTAACACACACACACACCTAACACTCACACCTAACACTCACTCACACCTAACACTCACACACACCTAACACTCACACACACCTAACACTCACACACACCTAACACTCACACACACCTAACACTCACACACACCTAACACTCACACCCACCTAACACACACACACACCTAACACTCACACACACCTAACACTCACACACACCTAACACTCACACACACCTAACACTCACACACACCTAACACTCACACACACCTAACACTCACACACACCTAACACTCACACACACACACCTACACACACACACCTAACACTCACACACACCTAACACTCACACACACCTAACACACACACACACCTAACACTCACACACACCTAACACTCACTCACACCTAACACTCACACACCTACACTCACACACACACACACCTAACACTCACACACACCTAACACTCACACACACCTAACACTCACACACACACACCTAACACTCACACACACCTAACACTCACACACACACCTAACACACACACACACCTAACACACACACACACCTAACACTCACACACCCCTAACACTCACACACCTAACACTCACACACACCTAACACTCACACACACCTAACACTCACACACACCTAACACTCACACACACCTAACACTCACACCCACCTAACACACACACACACCTAACACTCACACACACCTAACACAACACACACACCTAACACTCACACACACCTAACACTCACACACACCTAACACTCACACACACCTAACACTCACACACACCTAACACTCACACACACCTAACACACACACCTAACACTCACACACACCTAACACTCACACACCCTAACACTCACACACACACACCTACACACACACACCTAACACTCACACACACCTAACACTCACACACACCTAACACACACACACACCTAACACTCACACACACCTAACACTCACTCACACCTAACACTCACACACCTAACACTCACACACACACAACACCTAACACTCACACACACCTAACACTCACACACACACCTAACACACACACACACTAACACACACACTCACACACACCTACACTCACACACACCCCTAACACTCACACACCTAACACTCACACACACCTAACACTCACACACACCTAACACTCACACACACCTAACACTCACACACACCTAACACTCACACACACCTAACACACAACCTAACACTCACACACCTACACTCACACACCTAACACTCACACACACCTAACACACACACCTAACACTCACACACACCTAACACTCACACACACCTAACACTCACACACACCTAACACTCACACACACCTAACACTCACACACACCTAACACTCACACAGGTGACTGATGGATGAGGGTGAGCGGCGCTTTGTAAACTCGCCTTCATCGTCTCCCTCGCCGACTCGCCGAGTGTTTGTGTTGTTGTTGTTGGAAACGTCCCGACGTCAGATTGAAGCTTGGACGGGCGAGCCAAGGGAAGCTCCAGCAGCGGAAGAAACTCGTCACGTTGCAGACACCGAGTGACGCGTACCACGTGACAGAGACGCCAACTCCCACGTGCCCTTGAATGCCCCTTCTCGGTTCAAGCGGCGCTCGTTCTGCACGCACAAAAGTGTGATTTTGATGATGAACGAACGAAGGAGCAACGAATAAACAAAACCCGGACGACGCCGTGGCAAATCGGAGTTCTTTCTGCTGCCAATTCTCGTCGGCATCTCTCGCGCAACGCGGACCGCACTGCTCGCGTTCCTCGTCCGTGCCGGCCACACGGTTGATATCGGCAATAACGACGGAGCGAGACACGGAGCGAGATAAAATAGCCGCCTCCTATAATTTACGCTTCAAATAAAAAACAAGTAGAACCCGTAAAAACAAAGTTTTTCACTATAAATCCTTTATATGCGTGGCGGCTAGAGTCCTCTCATC